TGCCACTCCATTCACTTTCTTTTCCAAATACCTCTGAACACAGTCCTTCCCTGACACTTCTTTCTAAAATAGCATTCCCCTCTCTCTCCGTCATTCCTCACCTAGGTTCACTGTCTTACTTCCACCTGAAATATTAAAGATATGTTATTCATTTATTTGCTAATTCCCTCAATAGTAAAAGTGCTGACATCTATACTTTCACCCCAGTGCCTAAAACAGTGCTGGCACACTACAAGTACTCAGACAGACTTGTTGAAAGAATGAACTCATTTTACACTTGAGGAAACTGGGACTTACAGGGATTAATTAATTTTTCCAAAGTCCCACAGAATGAAAGGAACAGAGCCATGAATTGTCTAAGACCAGAACTCATTCATTTCAACACTTATTGCTACTAACCTTTATTATATCCCAGGGAGGGGGGCATATAAGTTGGGCTGGGCTACTTTTGAAAAGGAAAGAGGAACTTTATCAGTTATTTCAGGTCTGTTCCAGAAAAACGTGGATATATGGTCACCCTAGCTATAATCAAGGTCAGTTTTTTATTTGTTTTTTAAAGGAGGACTATACAGTATAAACTTAATATGGCACTTTTTTTTTAACTTGAAAAAGATTTTTGCTTTTTTTGTGGGGGTTTTTTCCCCCAGCTTTATTGAGGTATAATTGACAAAATTGTAAACTATTTAAAGTATACATCATGGTGATTTGATAGATGAATACATTGTGAAAGGATTTCTTTCAATTAGTTAACACATCCATCACCACACATTTATCTTTTTTGTATATGTCTGAGAACATTTAAGTTCTACTCTCTTAGCAAATTTCATTTACATAGTGCAGTATTACTAATTGTAGTCATCTTGTTATACATTAGATCCTCAAACTATTCATCTTATAGCTGAAACTTTGTACCTTAACCCTTTCCCTATTGCCCTCGGCTCCCAGCCCCCTGGCAACCAATTTTCTACTCTGTTTCTATGAGTTTGATTTCTTATTTAGATTCCACATATAAGTGAATACCATGCAGTATTTATCTTTCTCTGTCTGGTTTATTTCATTTAGCATAATGCCTTCAAGGTCCATCCATGTTGTTGCAAATGGCAGGAGTTCCTTCTTTTTTCATGTTTGAATATCTTCTTTATCACATCTTCTTTATCCATTCATCCATTGACAGACACACACTTAGGTTGTTTCCATATCTTGACCATTGTAAATGATGCTGCAGTGAACATGGGAGTACAAATATCTCTTCAATATCCTGTGTTTTTTTTTCTTTGGATATATACCCAGAAGTAGAATTTCAGGATCATGTGGTAGTTATATTTTTAATTTTTTGAGGTACCTCCATACTGTTTTCTATAGTGGCTGCACCAAGTTATAGTCCTACCAACAGTGCACAAGGGTTCCCTTTTCCTCATATCCTTGCCAACACTTGTTATCTCTTGTATTTTTGGTAACAGGCTTTAAGTAATACCGCATCGTGGTTTTGATTTGCATGTCCTTGATGATTAGTGGTGTTGAGCACCTTTTCATGTGCCTGTTGGCCATCTATATGTCTTCTTTTATATATATATATATATATATATATATATATATATATATATATATATATATATGTATTATTGATTTTTTACAGAGAGGAAGGGAGAGAGATAGAGAGTTAGAAACATCGATGAAAACATTGATGTTTCTATTCTGATGAAACATCGATCAGCTGCCTCCTGCACACCCCCTCCTGGGGATGTGCCCGCAACCAAGGTACATGCCTTTGACCGGAATGGAACCTGGGACCTTTCAGTCCACAGACCGACGCTCTATCCACTGAGCCAAGCCAGTCAGGGCTATATGTCTTCTTTAGAAAAATGCCTATTTGGTTCCTCTGCTCGTTTTTAAAAAATACATATTTTTATTGATTTCAGAGAGGAAGGGAGAGGGAGGGAGAGATAGAAACATCAATGAGGAGAATCATTGATTGGCTGCCTCCTGCACACCCCCTACTGGGGATCGAGCCCACAACTCAGGCATGTGCCTTGACTGGGAATCGAACCATGACCTCCTGGTTCATAGGTTGACGCTCAACCACTGAATCACACAAGCCGGGCTCTCTGCCCATTTTTAAAATCAGATTGTTTTGCTATTGTGTTGTGTGAGTTTATATCTTTATATATTTTGGATATTAACCCCTTATCAGATATATTATTTGCTAATATTTTCTCCCATTCTGTAAGTTGCCTTTTTATTTTGTTGTGCTTTGCTGTGCTTTTAACTTGACATAATCTCACTTATTATTTTTGCTTTTGTTGCTTGTACTTTTGGTGTCAAATCCAAAAAATCATTGCCAAGACTGATATCAAGGAGCATACCCGCTATGTTTTCTTCTAGTTTTACAATTTCAGGTTTTAAATTAAGTTTAATCCATTTTTATTTTTATTTTTAATATATTTTATTGATTTTTCACAGAGAGGAAAGGAGAGGGATAGAGAGTTAGAAACATCGATGAGAGAGAAACATCGATCAGCTGCCTCCTGCACACCTCCCACTGGGGATGTGCCCGCAACCAAGGTACATGCCCTTGGCCGGAATCGAACCTGGGACCTCTCAGTCCGCAGGCCAACGCTCTCTCCACTGAGCCAAACCGGCTAGGGCAAGTTTAATCCATTTTTAATTGATTTGTATATATGATGTAAGATAGGAGTCTAGTTTCATTCTTTTGCATGTGGCTGTCCAGTGTTCCTAACACCATTTATTGAAGAGACTATACTTTCCCCATTGAATGCTTGGCTCTTTTGTCATAAATTAACTGACCATATATTGGTGGGTTTATTTCTAGATTCTCTATTCTGTTCCATTGATATGTGTCTGTTTTTATGCCAATATCATACTGTTTCAGTTACTATAGTTTTGTAATATAGTTTTATTTTTTCTCCTACTTTTTATTTATTTTGACATATTTTGATATTTCCATAAACTTGTAATTGGAAGATAAGCTGTTCAATAAAAGCCATTTTATATATACAATATACAGAAATTATTTTAAAAGTTTGTTCAACCCGGGCTGGTGGAGCTCAGTGGTTGAGCTTCGACCTATGAACCAGAAGGTCACAGTTCAATTCCCATTCAGAGCACATACCCTGCTTGTGGGTTTGATCCCCAATAGGGGGCATGCAGGAGCAGCCAATCAATGATTCTCTCTCATCATTGATATTTCTATCTTTCTCTCCCAACCTCTCTGAAATAAATAAAAATATATTTAATTTTTTTAAAAGTCTGTTCATATAATGGATTCTTTGGATACTAAAAAAATGTTAAGATACAAATAATTGACTAAAAGTGCAATTATCACTAAATCAAGACACACAGGAATTGCACTTCATTCCAGGGGTTGGGGGGTCTCAATCTTACAGTGTTAGAAGAATAAAGTACATTTGTCATAGTATACATTATCATATTCCCTTAAAGCAGGGATTAAAGTTTTTAAATTAAAATACTTTCAGGATTACTTCTGTCTGTACATTCAGGAACTATCATTATTTTACTGGTTACACACAATTATCCCATCATACAAAAAAATCTCAGTTGTATCCTAAGGTCTGTTTAAGTCAGATAGTAAACTAGTAATAGCAATTTAATTAGCAAGCTAAAATCAGAACAGTGTAGAAATTCTGCAGTTGAATTGTATTTCCTGTAGTATTGCTGCTATTAAATCTGTTTTCTCCATGTATTAGAAGAAAAAAAATAAGCATTGATAGTCAAAATAAAATTTTCATTGTTGTAGTACATGATAGAATATATGAGAGAAAGAAGAGTTCCTAATGTCATGACAATCTTTATGAACCTTTACTAGTGTAAAGGTTAAGGATTATTGTGTGTATATATGTGGAAAGAAATAAGAAACAAAGGCAGGTAGTTAGGACAGGCATATAAAGGGAATGCTGAGACTATATTATTATATTTATTTTTAAAAACTGATCTGAAGTCAGATGTTAGTGTAAATTTAACCTGATAATTTATTTGTGAATAAAGCCAGTTTTTTTTTAATCCTCATCTGAGGATCTGTTTATTGATTTTAGAGAGAGGGGAAAGGAGAGAGAGAAACATTGATCAGCTGCTTCCCATATGTACCCTGACCGGGAATCGAACCTGCAACCTTTTTGGTGTATGGGACAATGATCCAACCAACTGAGTTACACGGCAAGGGCAATAAAACTAGTTTGGTGGGAAACAGTTTATTTTTTTAAAATATTTTTATATTTTTATTGATTTCAGAGAGGAAGGAAGAGGGAGATAGAAAGATCTATGATGAGAGAGAATCATGGATTGGCTGCCTCCTGCAAGTTCCCCACTGGGGATTAAGCCCACAACCTGGGCATGTGCCCTTGACTAGAATCAAACCTGGGACCTTTCAGTTTGCAGGCCAACACTCTATCCACTGAGCTAAACCGTCCAGGGCAGTGGAAAACAGTTTAATTCTTTCCTTTTAAACATAAAGAAACTCAAAAGGAATTTTAAAGGTAGTAGGCCAGAAAATGCAACAGTAACTCCTATAATAATCCTTTTCAAATAAACAAATAAATCAAGTTGAGACATGTGTTAAAATACTTTTCAGACTGAGTATTTATCAGCCTATATAATCCAATTGGATTTTGATATTTTATAAGAGCTATTACATCTAGAAGTGAAAAAAATAAATTAGATGCCCTCCCCAAGATATTGTTTAACCTTTAAAGCATCAAAAGCTATATAATATCTTATGCAAATTAACGAGTGTTCTTACAAAAGTAGTACAGTTTTGGACTGATATTATGCTGTATTTGTGGTGAGTAATAGGCACAAGAATATGTATCAATTAGGCATTTTCAGTCTAATTAGTCTCTAAAGTTATTTAATTATTGGCTCCATATAATAACTGGTGTGCATTTTGGTACTTAAGTCATGAATTGTAGAGAACAGGAAGCAGTATGATATAGTAATAGGGTTTGTATCAGACAATCACAGTGTTGAACAAATCTCTTCTATGATCTCTGTGATTTGTTTTGCAGTTGGCCGCCTGTAGTAGATCCTTGATTTGATTCTTCCATATTCATATTTTCTCCAGCTGCAGTTTTTGATATTTCTTCATCTTCCTCCAACTCTAGTAGTTCTTTTGAAATTAATTGCCTAGCTAATTTAAGATTAAGTCCTTCATTATCATGAAGCTTCCTTTTCATTTCAAACTCTAGCTGTTTCTCACTAGCTCGTTTGGAAATTCTGTGAAGCTGGGTCTTTTCTCCCCCCTGCTCATTTCCTACAGAGCACCTGAAAAAGAATAAACAGCAGGTAGTCAATAAAGACTTTTTACCTTCAGTTGAGAAGTCGCTGTCTTCATCTTCACTGCTTTCTTGTTCACGAGCCAGATACTTTGGCTTTGAGCCTTTAGCAGCAGCTAATTTCTTAGCTAACATCTCTGGGTTCAGGACTTCAATGGTTTCTGAATTACCCAGTGCACCTTCATCATCACTTTCCATGCTATTTTCTGGAGTGCTTGGTTCATGTACTTTAATTAAATCTTCGTCTTCTATATAATATGTCGCCACGATGTTCATTTCATCCCACTTCATGGATTTTTTACTCAGTTCGTCGACACTCTTGTTCCGCTGCTGCATTGTCGAGGGCACCAGAGAGCAAGCCACAGAACTCTTGTTCTTTAGAATCCCCTTAATGGGCTGTTGCGAAGCCGAGGCTGCTATGGCCTGCTGCGAGGATGCCATGGTCCGCTGCGAGGCTGCCAGGGCCTGTTGCGAGGATGCCATGGCCCGCTGCGATGATGGGCTTAAGGGTCGCTGGTTGGCGCTGGGTTCAGAAGGAAAGGGCTAGGGGCGAAGGGAGACTGGCCAGGCAGCCGCCGAGCCCACCTGGGGCTAAAGCGCTGCACCTGCTGTCACGGTGACAGCTACTAGCGTCGTTTTCACGCCACAAGGACCCCGACCCCGACGCGTTGGCGCCTGCTAGCGGGCGCTGGCGCCGGCGGCTGGCTGCTCTGGGTGCGCCCGTGGCCAACGCACTGTATCCGCGGCAGGCGGAGAAGCCCAACAGCCTGTAATACAGTTTAAATCAGGAAGTTTGATGCCTTCGGCTTTGCTCTTTCTCAAGATTGCTTTGGCTATTTGGGGTCTTTTGTGATTCCATACATTCTTTAGGATTGTTTTTTCTACATCTGTGAAAAATAACGCTGGGATTTCGATAGGGATTCCACTGGTTCTGTAGGTAGCTTTGGGTAGTATGGACATTTTAATAGCATTAATTCTTTTAACACATGAACACAGAGTAACTTTCCATTAATTTGTGCCTTCTTCAGTTTCTTTTATCAATGTCTTATAGTTTTCAGTGTACAGATATTTCACCTCCTTAGTTAAATTTATTTCTATGTATTTTATATTACACTTGATGCAATGTAATGGGATTTTTTTTTTGTAATTTCTCTTTCTAATACTTCATTGTTAGTGATTTTGTATATCGATTATGCATCCTGCAACTTTACTAAATCATTTATAAGTTCTAACAGTTTCTTTGGTAGAGTCTTTAGGGTGTTCTATTATATAATATTGTGTCATAGGCCAATAGTGACAATTTTACATCTTCCTTTCCAATTGGGATGACTTTTTTTTCTTTTTCTTGCCTAATTGCTCTGGCTGAGACTTTATATACTATGTTGAATAAAAGTTGTGAGAGTGGGCATCCTTGTCTTCTTCCTGATCTTGGAGGGAAAATTTTCAGCTTTTCACCATTGAGCATGATATTAGCAGTGGGCTTGTCATATATGTCCTTTATTATATTAAGGTATGTTCCCTCTGCACCCACTTTGTTGAGAGTATTTTTTTTTAATAAATGCATGTTGAATTTTGTCAAATGCTTTTTATGCATCTATGAAGATGATTTTTAAAAAATATTCTTTTATTGATTTCAGAGAGGAAGGGAGAGGGAGAGAGAGATAGAAACATCAATGATGCAACAGAATCCTATACACACACACACACACACACACACACACACATCACTGCAACCGGACATGTGCCCTTACCAGGAATCAAACTGTGAACTCCTGTTTCATAGGTTGAGACTCAAGCACTGAGCCACACCAGCCAGGCAAGATTTTTATCCTTCATTTTATTAATGTGGTGCATCACATCTATTAATTTGCGGATGTTGAGCCATCCTTGCATCCTTGGAATAAACCCCACTTGATCATGGTATCTGATCCTTTTAATGTATTGTTGAATTTGGTTTGCTAATGTTTTGTTGAGGATTTTGCATTTCTGTTCATCAGGAATATTTAGCTGTGATTTTCTTATAATGCCTTTTTTACTTTGTTCACGCATTATTCTCCTGACATCAGTGAGCATCTTTGTGACTGATATTTTAAATTCTTTTTTCAAATAAGTCACTTATCTCCATTTTATTAAGGTCTGTCTCTGGAGTTTTACCTTATTCTTTTGTGTGGAACATATTCCTCTATTTCTTTATTTTCCTTGACTCTCTGTTGGTTTCTGTGCATTAGATAAAACATCCCTCTCTCCCAATCTTGACAGAGTGGACTCATGTAGGAAATTAATCTTACCAATCAGCTCAGCCAGAGTTTTGTTGCTGTCAAGCCTTTGTCATTTTCCAAGCTGCCTTCAGTGTTCTTGTGGCTCCTAGTAGTTGAGGGTTTGCTAAGATCATTTCAATGTGGGTGATGTGGATATTTTCTCATTTGCCCAATGTGTAGGGGTCACTCAACTAAGTTTCTGAATTTCTTTCGGAGGGAATTTCTCCATGTATAGTTGTAGATTTAGTTTGTCAGTGGGAGGAGGTCAGTTCAGGAAGTTCCTTTGTTGCTATCTTGGAATGGAACCCTTTTTTTTTATTTCACTTTTTTGTTGTTGTTTTTAATTGATTGCAGCGAAGGGAAGGGAGAGAGAAAAGGAGATAGAAACCTCAATGAGGAGAGAGAATCATTGATTGGCTGCCTCCTGCACGCTCCCACTGGGGAACAAGTTCAAAATCTGGGCATGTACCCTGACTAGGAATCAAACTGTGATCTCTTGGTTCATGGGTTGATGCTCAACCAGCCAGGCTATTTTACATTTTTAAATATCTCCCTTAAGTCTTCAGCATTTGAATCTGCCTTCACCTAGAAACCCACAGCACTTTTTATTCCCATATCAATGGGAATATGATACTAGGGGGCAGGAAGTCATTTCCTTCTTCAGAGGATTATATGCTTACTATTTGCACTTTATCCTTTTTCCAAATCTACATTTGAAAGATCATCTAGAGAAGAGCAAGGACAAGACAAAGAAGTTGAAAATATGGTCTATTTTTAAAAATTAAAGGATTTATTTCTGACATTGGAATAGAGAGAGGTATTTTATAAATAGCTTAAAAACCTATGAAAAGTAGATATTGACCCCTTGTTTCCATCCCACAAGTGGTAAGATTGAGAGTAAATGAATTATTGTAAGACTGGAATAGGTCACCAAGAACAAGAAGGTGGTCCTGGGTGGGCAGGAGGGTAGAAAGACCAGAGAAGAAGCTGTTCCGGTGCTTACATCAGGGCCTCCTCCTATATCCCAGGTGTCTGTCATCAACGGAACCAGTCCTTTTGCCTATGACTATGACCTCACGCATATTGTTGCTGCCTATCAAGAAAGGAACAGTGAGTAAATTTCATTCAGGTGCTTCACAAAGACTTCCCAGGTCAGTGGGGTCTTTGGAGAGAAACAGAATTGGAATCCTTGTCATGATGAAAATGTCAAAACCAATGAATGCTCAGTGATGTGAGACAAACAGGCAACCCAGGGCTTGTCCTTTTTCCTCCTGATCTAAAGACCCACAATCTACGCAACCCCCACTTCTATGATCCATCAGGTTAGTGCCAATTAATTGCCATATCTATTCCACCACTGGTTTGATGGATTTCCTTTTTTAAAAATAAGCTTAATTGAGGCGCTCCATTTACTTGTAAAAGAAGCCAAAGACAAATTACTGTTTCTAGTTTTCAGATGGAAATAGGGAATGTGAGTGACTCACCCCATACCAGCAATTGAATTAGGAGAATAGATGCGATGCACCCAAGGTTCTGGCTATAAGGCAGAATGTGTCCGTCCCTTACTGAGGTGAGGCTCTTAGGCCATCCCATGCACTTGACTTGGCCTGCTTGGCTGGTTGGTGGTCTGAGGTTTTCTCTAAAGGCATGATAAGTATTGCTTGGCAACCAGACGTCATGGATACTGCGCACAGACACTTAAGTGGTGGGACTGCAATTCCAGTATTTCTTTCTGATTTTATGTAATACATGAACAGCATTATTTTAAAAATAAATTTTAAAACAAAAAAACATTGAAACTAAACTAAAACACTACAAATCAAGTTTTTAAAATTTTTTTCTTCTAGTCTTTGTCTATATGCAAATCTCTTTTATTTTATTTTTTCAGTTGATTTCAGAGAGGAAGGGAGAGGGAGAGAGATAGAAACATTAATGATGAGAGAGAATCATTGATCGGCTTCCTCCTGCACACCCCACACTGGGGATCCAGCCCACAACCCAAGCATGTGCCCTTGACCGGAATCAAACCCGGACCCTTCAGTCCGCAGGTTGATGTTCTATCCACCGAGCCAAAGTTGCCTGGCTATATGCAAATCTTTTTATATAGCTGCTATCATAATTTAGAGACACTTTTGGATCCAGTTTTTTTCTTTTTGTTGTCGTTGTTAATCCTCACCCGAGGATATTTTTTCCATTGGCTTTTAGAGAGAGTAAATGGGAGGGAGGGAGAAAAAAAAATCCTTGTGAGAGAGACACGTTGATTGGTTGCTCCCATGCATGCTCCAGCCGGGGCTGGGGATCAAACCTGCGGCCCTTTGGTCTGTGGTTGACTCTCTAACCACTGAGAAAAACCGACCAGGGCCAGTTTATTTCTATTTACTTTGTAATATAAATATTTTTCCCATGTTGCTACCAAGTTTTAATTGGTGTTATTTTTAGTGGTAGCATAGTATTCCTTTGCTTAGCCACTCAACAACTACAGAAGAACACATAGGCTGTTTCCACATTTTTTTAACATAAGTGTTTTGACAAGTATTTTAACAAAGTGTAAGCAACTTTGCATATTCAATTTCACTTCTTTCCTTTTAAATCATTTCTTAGATAGGAGTTTTGAAGTACAGAATTTGCCTGAGAGGTCAAAAGAGTATTTTCATAGCCCTCAATTTTTTTAAAGTTTATATGTACTTTTTTAATTAAAATATTTTTATATATGCTATTATTAATTTCAGAGAGAGGAAGGGAAAAGGAGAGATAGAAAGATGATGAGAGAGAATCATCGATCAGCCGCCTCCTGCACAACCCTAGTGGGGATCGAGCTGGCAACCTGGGCATGTGCCCTGACCGACCTCCTGGTTCATGGGTTGATGCTCAACCACTGAGCCACACCAGCTGGGCATAGCCCTCGATATTTTATTGCCAAAGAGAGCATTTATGGATTAATTCCTGATTGTATTGCAGTAACCACCATCCTGACTGTCCCCAACCCCATCTGGCTGGTGGGAAGGGCTGCCGAAGCTCCATTTGTGATTAATGCTGTCATCCGATACCCTGTGGAAGTCATTTCATATCCTTTCTGCTAAGAAGCCAACAGTAGCTCATTTTCAAAAAAGGAAAAAGGATTCCTCACTTGTCCCAAGAAGAAACAGATGTGGGAAGCCTTAAGTTGAAATTGCTACAGCATTGCAGCCCCACACAAACCACTCTGTCTGCTATTCATACAGGGGTGGGGGCTGGGGAATTCATTTCCTGTTCTTATTTCTTTATGAGCAATTTTTCTAGGTCAGAATCATCCATATTTATGTCCTAATAATCTTTTGTTACCCCTTTTATCTTAAAGGTATTTGAAACATTTTTGCCATATCCTGTCTAAACTTACCCGTTTACTGGTAACATTTACTTAGAAAATGTCATCTGAGATTCCTTAACTGTGTATACTTATCTACCAGGATTCTGGGAAATTATAAAGTTTGCCTGGATCCAGTATGTCAGTATCCTACTTATCTTCCTCTGGGTGTTTGAAAGAATAAAAAGATTTGTGTTTCAAAATCAAGTGGTCACCACAATCCCTGTAACAGCAATGCCCCAGGGAGAACTCTATAAGCAGCACTTATCGTAAGAAGACCATGACTCTAAGCAGGACCTGGCTACCTCATGTTGTCTTAGGACACTTCTGAAAAGGGCCCATGGACACGTGCCAGCATGTGTGTTTTTCCTACCAGCGACAAAGAAGAGTTCTTTCTAATTTTTCTCTACACAAATTCCATATCTTCTAAGTGCCTACCAAAATCATCAGAGACTAGTTTGTGGGAAGGTCTGAAAAGGCTATAATTTGCTCTCCTGCCCCCTTTTTTTGCCCTAGACTTGAATTTCAAGAGAAAACTATAATCAATTGAGACATGTTGGAAAGAGTATCACCTCTAGTCAAGCAGACTTTTGCTTTCTTGAACCGAGAAACATGCTATGCATTTCTTCCCCCAGTTGTAAAGCACTTTTGACTCTTTTCAGGGCTCTCAGAACAGATATGCAAATCATTAGCATTTCCCCCATTCAGAACTTTGATTTCCAGAACTGAGAGGCCTTTAACTGGAGAACTAGAGAGAGAGGGAGTGCTCAAGAACATGTGTGTGCACCCACGTGAGGGTGGGCAACTTGAGGACACTAGGACCATCCACCTGCCCTCAGTCTAACAGACATCTTCTGTCATCAGCTCAGCTGAAAAGCCCTTTATCCTGCCCTTATGTGGCTGGCTCTCTGCCCTGCCTTTTGCTCTCTGTCTGTGCCCCTGGAGTAGCAGGCTGAAGTCAGAAGTGCTGTTTTCATTCACAATCCTCTGGGCAACTGTGTGGGGAATAAGGATTGTAACCGTTTTTCTCTCTCTGGCCCTCACCCAACAGCCTGGACACTTGCCACTCCTCCTTCTCGACAGCCTCTCCCCCTTCCTGAAAAGGACATGGGTGACAGAGGACCTGCTGTTGGTATTGGCTCCCTGCCCAACAACCACAGAGTTTATTTGGAGGGCTAGCGGGAAGCCCAGCTCCTTGTATTTCCCTTGACTAAGGAACAGGGTGCCCATCGGAGCAGGCCGCTTTGGGAGGGACGCAAGGAGCAGTGCGGGGAGAAAGAGGATGCTAGCCCCCGCAGCTCAGTCCAGCCTGGCCCCGAGCAGAATGGCGGGCAGTCCAGTCAGATGACGCTCATGACTAAGCGAGTGTCTGCAGGAGAAGAGTGCTGGGACAGGTCTTTGTTACACACAGAGACTGATTTCTTTTCGTCCTAAGAAAACATGGGGTTCCTCAGAGGATGGATAGATCTGCTTTATGATCCCGAGATGTCATTGGTACTGAAAGGACACACCCACTATGACCTGTGCTTCAGGCCCATTCATAAACACACACTTCAGCGTGTGCCTCAGTTTACCCTGGAGATTCAGTTTTTATTTCCAAACCACCTTTTCTTTCAGGCTGACTAAAATAAGTATTTTGGAAACAAAGCTATTTGTGTTCAAGCACACAAAATCCTAACAGTGGCCCCTCTGGTTTTTCTTTTAAACTTTAGGACTGCTTATTTATATGCCTAAAATTTTTTTGAGATTTCAATCAATGAAAATTGGTTGCTGAATTTTCTAAATTACAAAAAGATAAGGAGATATGGAAAGACAGCTAAAGATGTATAGACATTGCTTTGCATTTTATTAAATTGTTTTAATGTAATGTAAAATTTGTATAACGAACCATGTGTTTCATAACTTTCTAATTAAAATGTTCAAAATGGAGGCTGCGTGTGGCTTTTTAGAGGGGACGGGTTTGGAAAGGGGAAGAGTGGGGGGGGCAGAGGTAGCACACATTTCTCCAAGTTACTCACCAGCAGCCTTGCTTTGCCAGGGTTCTGCTCAAAGACCTTGGAGCTTTTGTTAGCTCTTTGGCCAAAGTCCCCTGGTCCAGCCCCAAGTAAATGTGAGTGTTTGGTGGAATCCACATTGCATGTGGAAACCACAGGCTGGAAAATTACAACTGTGTCTGATGAATGTCATATTTACAGATCAGATATTCGTAGCTTCTGAACCTGAATCACACAGTGTAGTTGCAAGAGAAAACGTGAGAAATATACAGGATTTTATCCACTGAGCTGTAACCAATAGCTAAGTCAGGTTACTCAATATTTGGAGTAACTAGTTTTAAAGTGTCTTCCGGGGCTCCAGCCTCACTTACTCCCCACGTGGCTCCACTGTGGAGTGGAACTTGGAAGAGACGACAAGAAGCCTTTACGCAGCCTCACTCAATATTTGGAGGGGGCGATCCCTCATTTTGTGAAATGATGATCCAGTTTCTGTTTGAATCAGGTGAGGCCCTTAAGGCCGCACTTGGGTCCCATCATTAAAGTAAACAAAACAATTCTATATCTTCCCCTTTCTCTCATGTTCATGCTTTTAAAAAGAAGTTTCTTTCTGATTAGAGCAGTTCTAAATGTCTATTGGGGGAAATGTGTAATTAAACCTAAAGAAAATAAAGTTGTAACTTCGCTACCCAGAAGTTTCCACTGTTGGCATTCTGGCACACATATTTTGTTATATATATTGCTGTCATACACTTCTTTGAACCCTGTGTACAAATCCTTGTTGCTGGTTTATTTCCTTCAGATAGATCCTAGAAAGGAATTATTCAGAAAGCTTATGACTGTTCTTAAGGATTTTAACTCATCTTGCCAAGCCACAGCCTGGAAAGAATGCACTAATCTATACTCTCGCAGCAGACTTCTTTTAGAACCCACCACGGAGTCCCAGAGGTCAGAATTGTCTATCATTTTCAGATGCCTGGACTCTGCTCTTTTATCTGGAGTGGGGAGGTGGGGGCCATCTGCTTTATTTTCTGAAACGTATCCTGTATTTATCCAGGGATTCGCTGCCTTCTTGGCTAGAGCAGGGAGGGGACGAGAGGGCACAGCCACCCAGCTTCGGGCCTAGTTCCTGAGGGCCACCTGGTGTCCCAGCCCCTCGCAGCTCCACTACTTGGTGGGTTCACCTGGCATCAAGGTGCCTTGTACTTGGCTTAGGGCTGAGGCTGGGGCCTTGGGAAGCTGGTTTGGATTCCAAGTCACTTCGCTGCGAGAATGCCACCGAGAGCGAGGAGGGGCAAAATTAAGATTAATTTTTTTCCTTCACAAGGGCCTTTTGTGCTCCTGGGAACCTCCCTTTTTGGGGCTGTTTTGGTCAATTAGTGAGATGAGAGGTGACTCTGCTAGAACCCTCCCCCAAACAGTGCGCCTCCTGCAACTCCAGAGCCCACCTGTGCCTGCTCTTACCCGGGGCCCTCCGGCGCCCGCCCCTGGCCAGCTGTCCCACCCCCAAGGCGTGGCCCCCCCGGCCGGTGTGGGGCTGGTAGTCGGAGCCGGGGGCCAACCGGCTTCTTCCTTCCCTCCCTCCCACCCTGGCTCCCGCCGGCCGGCTCGGGACCGCAGCCACGTCTGAAAGCGCCTCATTGTGTGCGCTCCGCTCGCAGCGGGCAGCGCCGAACCGCGCGCAGGCCGCCGGCGGCCGCACAGGTAGCGCCCGGGGCCACGGGGCTGGTGCGGGCGGGGGACCCCGGGTCAGGACGGGTCTGGTCCTTGTAGCGCCAGGACCGCCGCCACCCCAACATCTTATGACGCCTCTCTTTTTTACGGGAACTCCTGCCCTGTTTACAGGTTCCTCCGCCGTGGGTCCCCAGGTGCCGCCAATATCTTGGTATCCGTAAAGCCCCATCCATCCCTGGTATCACCGGGTGCCCCTTAGTAACCTTGGGGTCTCAGCGGAACAAATCAGGCCGTGCGGACTCCCAGGGAAGAGACAGCAGGCTGTGGAGTGGAACTTGGAAGAGACAAGAAGCCTTTACGGAGCCTCGGAAGCTGCGCCAGGTCAGCCAAGGACCCCCAGCTTGGGGGTATGTTGGTTCGGCCCCTCGCCGCGCGGCTGCCCCCACCTTAGGCGGGCTTGGGGCTGAGCCAGTGGCACAGTTGAGGGGGGCGGGCATTAATCTTGCAACTTGGGGGAGCGGGGCTGAAGGGGATGGTTTATCTGAACGCGCAAAGGGCATCGCTGCCCCAGGCACTGGTTTTAAAGTGTCTTCCGGGGCTCCAGCCTCACTCGGCGGCATCACGAGATCAAGGCTGGGGATCCCTCATCTCCTGAAACTTGAGTGTCAAAGGGTGGCTTTCATCTAGATCGCTCTCCAAGGGCTTCTTCCTGGGAACTCCTGAGGAGCAGCAGCTTGGAGAGTGAATTTGGAACCAGATCCAGCTGATTTGAGTCCGGCAGCCCCTGCTTGGGCAACAAGGAGACCTCTCTTGGCCTCCGCATAGGTGCCCAGCATATGGCAACCCTCCTTTTTCCTCCTTCTTGTACCAGAGGCGTGGGCATGGGAAAACTGAGGCCTAAAGAACAGAAAGGCTTTGGCTGCCCTGAAACCATGAGTTAATTAGAATAGTGTGCTGCCCCCTGGCCGGTGTGGCTCGGTTGGTTGAGCGTAGGAGGTCCAGTGCATCAAAAGGTGGTGGGTTCGATTCCCAGTCAGGGCACATACCCAGGTTGCAGGTTCGATCCCGATCGGGGTGCGTGCGGGAGGCCACTGCTCTCTCTCTCTCTCTCTCTCTCTCTCTCTCTCTCAACAATAAGAATAGTGTGCTGCTCAGTGAGCGCTGACTGTGCTAAGATCAGATTGTCCCACTCACTCCTCTGTGGTACCTGCTGTGATAGCCTCTACAAAGGAGTGGACTGAAGCCCAGGGAGCTTAGGGGTGACTTGCTCAGTCACAGGCCTCAGTGGCTGTAGAGGCAGGATCTGAACCCAGTCTGGCTTCAGAAGCCAGGCTTCTGGCCTTTCCTCACTGTTCTGTGTTTTCTATGTACATGTCCTGCCCCTGCCTGGCTTGCCAGGTTCTGTAATTAGGGTGCTAGAGTCACCTGCACCTGGTTAGGCTACTGTCCTTGAGTTTTCCTTGTCAAATCCAAGGATTCCCTTGGATTCATATAGAATATAGTTGTAACCCAAGGTTTGGAACAATCCTGAACAGGTACTTATAAGTGTACTTGGTACTAGATATTGTCCTAAGTACTTTATAAATATTAACTCATTTAATTGTCAAATTAAGCCCATGCTTTGGGTTATACAGGGATGGGCAAAAGTAGGTTTACCGTTCGGAGTATGTGAAACAGTTTATTCTTGTATTATTTATTTGTATTATGTAAACCTACTTTTGCCAACCCTGTTTTATTTCCCCCGTTTTATAGATTAGGGGGGAAAAGGCACAGAGAGATTAAGTAACTTGCCCAACATCACACAGTAGATGATCAAGTGGAGTCACACTATTAACCACTGTGCTACTGCCTCCTTCCTCTAATGAGACAGACCACATCCTGCTTCTATTCTCATAAGGGGAGATAGCAATGCATAAACAAGAGAATTCTGGGTAGTGATAATAGCATTAACAATGGTTTCTCAATATCACCTAATACAGTACTCAGTTCATATTCAAATTTCTCTGGTTGCTTTAAAGATATCTTCTTGCGGTTGCTTGGTTTGGATCAGAATTCAAACAAGGTCCACAACTTGTTATGTGTTTTGAGTTGTTTTCTTCTAAAACAGTCTCTTTTTATGTCATTGACTTGTAAGAATAATTCACTTTTTAAAAATCAATCCATTAAAATAAAAGCTTACAAAAAATAAACCGGAGAACATTACAGATAATCTCTGTAATAAAAGGGCTCAGTCTGCCCTAGCCGGTTTGGCTCAGTGGATACAGCATCGGCCTGCGGACTGAAGGGTCCAGGTTCGATTCCAGTCAAGGGCATGTACCTTGGTTGCGGGCACATCCCTAGTAGGGGATGTGCAGAAGGCAGCTGATCAATGTTTCTCTCTCATCGATGATTCTAACTCTCTATCCCTCTTCCTTCCTCTCTGTAAAAAATCAATAAAATATATTTTTTTAAAAAATGAAAGGGCTCAGTCAACACCTGGGGGAACACAGGGGAATGTGCTAAATGTACACCCCCTACCTCCATTCCGTGCGTGTGTTATTAATGAGAAGAGGTGGTCATGAGAAGGTGGAAGGCCCAGACTGTAGGGCCCTCCAGCTGCCAGGTTCTATGCAAAGTGTACTTTGAGGATCCCCAACGCTCAGAGCTAGGGAAAGGGGTTTATGAGTTATCTGCTCTAAAGTTCCCCCAGGGTGACTCTGAGCTAGGGTACTTGAGGCTCTTTTCCCAGCCTAGTTTGATTTCATTTTCCTCTAGATTCTTGCAGGCAAATCTGTCTCCTCCAGCAACATCTGGGTTGTGTGACTCCAGCCTCCTCGTGCCACACAGTTGCTCATAGCGCAGGCAGAGAGAGGCCAGACGTGCTAGGGCTTGGGGTCAGCCACCTGTTGTGCCACAGCCCAGCCCAGCTCACTGGGCGTGTGAGCCTCCACACTATCACTGCATAGGAGGTAATTCATCCTACTCCCCAGCCTTCTGGGCAGCTGGATACCACATCAGCTGGGAGGTAGTTAGGCAGGCATCTCTCTCCCTGCAGTGGAGGCTGGAGCAGGCAAACTGTACCCATGCTTCCTTAACCAACTAAAAAGAACTGATTTTATGATTCCCAAAGTAATAAAAGTTTATTGTAGACTATCTGGGGAAATGCAGCAAAACACTAATAAGAAAAATCAATACTTATAATCGGGCCATAGAAAATAATCACTAATATTTAGCACGCATCCTTCAGATTTCCTCTTATAAATACACATACTTGTGTAATTATTGGAACAGCTTTATTGAGATATAATACACATACATTAAAGTTCATCCTTTTAAAGTGTACAATTCACTGGCCTATGGTATATTTAGTGTTGTGCATTAATCGCCTCAAGGTTTATCCATGTTGTAGCATGTATCGGTACTTCATTCCGTTTTTTCTCATTCCTTTTTTATTGCCCAATAATATTCAGTTACATGGATACATCACATTTTGTTTATTCGTTCATCAGTTGATGACTATTTGAAATGTTTCCATTCTGGGCCATTAGAATAATGCTACTATGACAGTTCATGAACAAGTTTTTGTGTGGACATGGTTTCAGTTCTCTTGGGTATATATTTTGGAGTGGGGTTGCTACATGGTAACTCTGTTTAAACTTTAGAGGAACTGCCTGTTTTCCACAGCAACTGCACCATCTCCCATTCCTGTCAGCAGTGTATGAGGGTTCCAATTTCTCCTCATTCTCACTAACACTTGATATTATCTACCTTTTTCATTATAGCCATCCTAGTGGGTGAAAGTGGGCTCTCATATTTTTTTCATTAATCCTCACCCGAGAATATATATATTTCCCATTGAATGATTTTTTGAGAGTGCAAGGGGTGGCGGGGAGAGACAGAGAGACACATCGATGTGAGAGAGAGAGACCACAATGATTGGTTGCCTCCTGCACGCACCCCGAACAGAGCCGGGGATTGAGCCTACAACCAATGTACGTGCCCTTGACCAGAATTGAACCCGAAACCCTTCAGTCCACAGGCTGATGCTCTAACCACTGGCTAGGCTCTCATTGTAGTTTTGATTTGCATTTCTCTAGTGACTAAAAATGTCAAGCATCTTTTCATGTGCTTATTATAGGTTAGCTGTACATCTTCTTTGGAGAAATTTCTACTTAAATCTTTTGCCCATTTAAATATCAGGTTGTCTTTTATGTGGAGTTGTAATAGCATTTTATATACTTGTATTTTGGGTCTAAGTCTTTTGTTCTGTTTATGATTTGCAAACATTTTCTCCCATCTGTGGGTGTCCTTTTATTTTATTGATGGTGCCCTTGGATATTCATGGTGTTTTTTTTTAACACAATTGGTATCATACACAATTAACACACTTGGTATGTGTATCTGTGTGTATTTTGTTACTTGTGTTTTTCCACTTGATACTATATAGTTAAAAGCTCTGACCTTAGAGGGTTCAAATTCTGACTCAGCTGCTATGTGTGTGTGGGTCCTCTAGGCAAGGTTCTTAATCTTTCTAAGTCTCAGTTTCTTTGTCTGTAAAATAGGATGAGCATCAGGTCTACTTCATAGGGTTGTTGTGAAGATTAAACCTGAAGATGGTAGAAAGGCTTGGCATACAAGAAGCCCTCAGTGGACGGTATTTACTGGTGGTCCTTGTACCCACTCCGCCATGAGCACTCACCTTCCCCCTCCTGTTTCTCTCTTCCTCCCTCTCTGCTTGATTTTTTCTCTTCTCTCTCCCTCCTTTTGTTTTCTTTCCTTCCCTCCTTTTTAGCTTTCTCCCTAATGAATGGCCAGGCTCTATTAGAGCTGTTTTGCCCCCCGCTGGGGTGGCCCTTGCTACCTAGAGTCCACTGATCCCGCATCCAGAACCCATTTTCTCTGGCCTTTGGGATTCCTGAACAGGGATGGCCTCCAGCTGATGCTGAACTGAGAGAAATCTGAGCCAGGGATTTGTACCTACAATTACATTTCACTCCCTTAGATTCTGTGCCAGGGCTGGGAGAGGCTGGTGACAGGAGATGCTGCTGAGTTAAGGGCAGGCAAAGCTGGGCTGCAAGTCAGCGCTGCCCAGACAGCTAGATTCCTGGGCTCCAGCTCTTTCCTTCCCCTTTCAGGGGGAACTAATATGCTCACTCTCTTGCATAAACTTCCAGGGATACCTTATGTTTATTTAAGCAAAGTAGATTATTATTATTATTTTTAAATCCTCACCCATAGGATATGTTTTCATTTATTTTCTTAGAGAGAGAAACATCAGTGTGAGAGAGAAACATCGACCAGCCGCCTCCTGCACATCTCCTACTGGGGATGTGCCCGCAACCAAGGTACATGCCCTTGACCGGAATCGAACCCACTACCTTTTGGTGCACAGGACGACACTCCAACCAGCTGAGCCACCCAACTAGGGCAAGCTATGTGGATTATTTTGACAAAAATAAATTTTCAAAGACTCTCTGATGAAACAGTTTCAGTAACTTGAGAAAGTGGAAGGTGGTCCTGGGTGTCAGAGTAAAAGAGGGAACTTTTTATTCTTTCTATGGCCTCTTGTGCTTGACTGAAATACATGATTATTTTCATCATCATTATCAATATCATCAAAGACTTGGTGGAACTGGAAGGCAGGGGAGGCCCATAGAGGACAGAGGATGTCTCTTCCTTTTGATTGAGTGGCTCTTGTGCTTGGGTGTTGGGCTGTGTCTGCCAGAGGATGGGACCCCTTTCCTAATTTTTCACAAATAAAACATGAGCCCACGATGCCCTCATCTGTATAGTATTTTGTGCCCCTTCTGTGTGGTACCTTTTCCAAAAATTGAACATATAATAAATATGTGCCTCCCAAATGACTTTTAAACAGGAAAGAATTCATAGGGGAGGGCAGGGGACTTCCAGGATGGGGAACTAGTACACAAAGGCTTAGGAAGGGACCCACCCCTGGACCCTCCACTGGGGGTCGGGCACTTGGATTTAAACCTCTGCTCTGTGCCTTACTGGCTGAGTATTCATTGTCTGAACCCATTGCCTCAATTAAAACAAACAGGGATAATTTCTACCTCTTAGGGGCTCGGGGAGGATAAAATTCCATCATGAAGATAAAAGGACACATCACTGTGCCTGCCTGACATGTTCTTCCTAACTTCGAACCCTGGGTCAGTTGGTAGGTGTGCTGCACATAAGGCTCCTTATGGGGACCTGGACTTCGCTGGGCAGCTTACGTGGCATAGGATGTTTCCACTCCCCTTCCTAGTTCTTGAGTTCCAATAGCAGGATCAGATAGCAGTTCCTGTATTGTGTGAGTCACTTAAGAAGACCTCTGGCTTCCCTGGAGTGCAGGTAACAAGCACCTTGGCCTGTGGTCAAGATCCTTCTCTGCAGGGGAGGATGGGCTGTCCAGGCAGCTGTGCTTGAGCCAACGCATCAGAGTCCTGCACTCCGCAGGGACCGGACAGGCCAGCCGACTGGGATCAGAAAGTGCCAGCAGCGCCCGGCCAGCATGGCTCAGCGGTTGCGCGACAACCTATGAACCAGGAGGTCACAGTTTGATTCCCGGTCAGGCAGCTGATCAAGGATTCTCTCTCATCATTGATGTTTCTATCTCTCTCTCTCCCTCTCCCTTCTTTATATATATATATATATAAAATTTTAAAGTGTATAATTTTAAAATTTATATATATATAAATTTTTATTTTTATTTTTTTAAGAAAGTGCCAGGAGCTTAGCAATGGAAGTCCAGGGTTGGAGTCCTGGTTTCCTGCTGTCTCTTTAAGCCTTGGGGTCCTTTACCTAAAAAACTGAGATCATAATGGCCGCCTGAGGGGCTGCTGAGTTAAATAACAGAGTGGATATAAAGCATCTCACACTTGAGGTGATTTCTGTCAGCACACCCATTGTGAGTTCCCTTCCTCTCCTGCCCCCTGTTCTCTGGGGGAGCACATCCTTAAGGAGAGGAGACAACAAGTGCAGAGCAGATGGGTGGTTACTCTCCATGTCTTCTAGGTTTTCCAGGAGTGGGCATGGGATCCAGGAGGCAGTTCTGGAGTTAGCAGATGGCAGCTGTTGGGCATCCTCCTTCCACTCCTACAGCCTACCAATAAGGGAAAGGCACAGAGATGGGATCTGTTCATGATCTAGACCAGTGGTTCTCAACCTTCTGGCCCTTTAAATACAGTTCCTCATCTTGTGACCCAACCATAAAATTATTTTCGTCGCTACATCATAACTGTAGTGTTGCTACTGTTATGAATCGTAATGTAAATATCTGATATGCAGGATGGTCTTAGGCGACCCCTGTGAAAGAGTTGTTCGACCACCAAAGGGGTCGAGACCCACAGGTTGAAAACCGCTGATCTAGACCACGCATGTCAAACTCAAAGGCTAACATGGGCCAAATAAACAAAGCATGTGGCCCGTGGACCTCGAGTTTGACATGCTTGGTCTAGACCAGGGGTTCTCAACCTTCTGGCCCTTTAAATACAGTTCCTCATGTTGTGACCCAACCATAAAATTATTTTCATTGCTACTTCATAACTGTAATGTTGCTACTGTTATGAATCGTCATGTAAATATCTGATATGCAGGATGGTCTTAGGAGACCCCTGTGAAAGGGTCGTTCGACTGCCAAAGGGTTCGCGACCCATAGGTTGAGAACTGCTGGTCTAGACCCTGGCTTCTCTCAGTGGGGACATGGACAGGGAGGGTGTTATTAGGGAGCAAATACTGTGAAACTAAGGGGGAAACTTCCAGGCCCCTATCTTCCAAAGCACCTCATCCTTGATCATTGCAGGAGCAACAGGTGCAAAGAGGAGAAGACTCGGGAACCTTGGGGTGTGGAAGGCTCAGTGTTCCTTTCTGCAGCACAAGCACGACATTTAAAGATTCACCAAAGGATTCAGGGTGGTTGGGGTGAGAGGTGGGCCTGGGAAGTGTTGGATTCCAAGCAGAGGTGACCTCAGGTGTCTCATCTGGGTGATCTCTCATGGTTCCTCCTCTCCAGACCCAGCTCAACGCAGCAAGAATAATCTGGGGAATAAATATGCCACCTCACCAAGCCCTTTCCTCTTATGCATTTGTACCAGCATTCCTCACAGCAACTGTATGAGGTTAAATGTTATCCCCAATTTACAAAGGAGGAAATTGAGGCTTGGAGAATTCAAGTCATTTGCCCCAGGTCTCATAGCTCCTGAGTGGCATGGGAGGAACTCCAAGCCAGTCCTCTCTCCTGCACTTAGCAGGAGACACAGTCAGTTCACTCATTTGGAAAAATGTATCCAGCACCCGGTCTGAGCCCAGCTGCAGCCAGGGCAGGGCTAGCTCCCGCTGTGGGGCTGCTGCTTTCTCAGAACCTGAGGCCTCTCCAGGCATCCCCCATGGATTTGTGACAGAGGTGGGCAGTTACCCCGCAGTCCCGGGCCATGGTGGGTAACCTCAGCAGGGAAATGGCAAGCAGCCACCAGGCGCCTGACTCCACTCTCACCTCCCAGCTTCTCCAGCTCCATCCTATCTCTCCCTGAACTGGTTTCTTCTGCAAACTCACAGGTTCCAGAAGGACACCCTCCCTCTGGAGTCCAAGCACCCTGCAGCACTTCACTTCCCATGGGTGATGGCAACAGTTGGTGTTCTTTGTCTTCTATTTATTTGTTTACTTTTAATAACAAAAGTTGTATCTGCATGTTAAAAATTTTCAGACAATGCAGAAGCTCAATGTGTAGAAAATACTAGCTATCCATTATGAAGGTTTAGTACATCCCCCCTGCCCCCATGCTCATACCAATACTCCAGGATCAGTATTGTCCCCTTTTTACAGATGGGTAAACTGAATCGTGGAGAGATTAAGTGTTTGGTCCAAGATCACAGGCTAGAAAGTAGCTGAACCAGGATTCAACCTGAGGGAGCCAAATCACCCATCAAGCTGTTCAGCTAAACAACCAAAACGCGTCTCCCTAAACGGAATTCTTAACCAAAAGGCGGGAGTTTTTGTTTTTAAAAATATTTCCTTCAACCCTGCCGGTGTTGCTACGTGGTTGAGCCTTGACCTATGAACCAGGAGGTCAGAATTAGATTCCCAGTCAGGGCTCCATTCCCCAGTAGGGGGCGTGCAGGAGGCAGCCAATCAATGATTCTCTCGTTGATGTTTCTATTTCTCTCTCCGCCCTTCCTCTCTGAAATCAATAAAAATATATATTAAAATATTTCCTTCACCAGATAGGGAGTGAGGGAGGAAGAGAAGAGAATAAAAGAGAAGAGAAGAGGGTTTCCCATAGTATTCTGCCGCTGGCCTTTTGCTCTGCATAGACTATGGCACCTTACCAAGCCCTTTCCTCTTATGTGACACTAGATCATGGCTTAGGTCTTAACGTCACCTTCCTCGGGCTGCTCCCTGCAATCACTGAGCAGAAGTTGGGGTGTGGACAAGGGCGCTGTGAGTCCCTAACTGCGAACCTTCCCTCCCGCAGGCCCCTTGCATGCAGCATGTGGCTGCCACGCATCTCCAGCACCACGGTGACCGCGCTCCTGCTGGCGCAGACCGGCCTCCTGCTCTTCCTGGTCTCCCGGCCCAGGCTGACATCCCCAGCAGATGGCGAGGAACGGGTGCATGTGCTGGTGCTGTCTTCATGGCGCTCCGGCTCATCTTTCGTGGGCCAGCTCTTCAGCCAGCACCCCGATGTCTTCTACCTGATGGAGCCCGCGTGGCACGTGTGGTCCGCCCTGTCGCAGGGCAGCGCGCCGGCGCTGCACATGGCCGTGCGTGACCTGGTGCGGTCCGTCTTCTTGTGTGACATGGATGTGTTCGATGCCTACCTGCCATGGCGTCGCAACCTCTCAGACCTCTTCCAGTGGGCCGTGAGCCGCGCGCTGTGCTCGCCGCCGGCCTGCAGCGCCTTTCCGCGCGGAGCCATCAGCAGCGAGGCCGTGTGCAAGCCGCTGTGCGCGCGGAGGCCCTTCGGTCTGGCCCAGGAAGCCTGCCGCTCCTACAGCCACGTGGTGCTCAAGGAGGTGCGCTTCTTCAACCTGCAGGTGCTCTACCCGCTGCTCACCGACCCAGCTCTCAACCTGCACATCGTGCACCTGGTGCGTGACCCACGGGCGGTGCTGCGCTCACGCGAGCAGACAGCCAAGGCCCTGGCGCGCGACAATGGCATCGTGCTGGGCACAAACGGCACGTGGGTGGAGGCCGACCCAGGCCTGCGCGTGGTGCGGGAGGTGTGCCGCAGCCACGTGCGCATCGCTGAGGCCGCCACCCGCAAGCCGCCGCCCTTCTTGCGTGGCCGCTACCGCCTGGTGCGCTTCGAGGACCTGGCGCGAGCACCGCTGCCCGAGATCCGTGCACTGTACGCCTTCGCGGGCCTTAGCCTCACGCCGCAGCTGGAGGCCTGGATCCACAACATCACGCATGGGCCCGGGCCTGGCGCGCGCCGCGAAGCCTTCAAGACCACGTCCAGGGACGCACTCAACGTCTCCCAGGCCTGGCGCCACGCGCTGTCCTTCACCAAGATCCGCCGGGTGCAGGAGCTGTGTGCTGGCGCGCTGCAGCTGCTGGGATACCGACCCGTGTTTTCCGAGGAAGAGCAGCGTGACCTGGCCCTGGACCTGGTGCTACCGCGCGGCCCGGGCAGCTTCAGCTGGGCATCGTCCACCAATGCGCACCCTGGGCCTTAGCGGAAGGCCGGGTTGTGGCGGTCGCCAGGGCCAGGAGGAAACTGGTGGGGAGAGGGCTGGGGTACACAGGGCGCGGGCCGCTACTGGAGGGGCCGGGAGTTTGGGAATCCTCCCTTGTATTAGGAAAGGACTGTGTCCCCAAACTCCCTGTTTGTTGCCACTTCTTGACTTTCCTTGGAGCCCTTTTTTGCTGCTGGGTTTCCATCGGGCACATTCTTCATAGAAAACAAAGCTTGTGCCCAGCCAGTGTGGCTCAGTGGATTGAGTGTTGTCCCATGCACCAGGAGGTCACAGTTGGATTCCTGGTCAGGGCACATGCCCCGGTTGCCCACTCGATCCCCAGGGGGAGGCATGCAGGAGGCAGCTGGTGATGTTTCTATCTCTCCCTCTCCCTTCTCTCTCTAACATAAACAATAAAAATATTTTTAAAAAGGAAAACAAAGCTTGTGTCCCTACTTCCTCTGGGCACTGGGAATAGTTCAGACAACTTGGCTCCTGCTGAGGGTCTTTCTTTCCCCTTATCTCTCTCCTCCCTTGGGAGAGAAGGTTGGGAAGGTCTGGGAGGCAAGCCAGGTAGAGCGTGTGGTGGAGCAAGAGGTTGGCAGCAGGATCAGTGCCGGTGAATGTAACTAGATCGGGCTTGCTATGAGCTTGGGGTAGGGGGTAGGGAGGGAAGGCTTTGTCTTCCCTTGGTCCTTTCAGGCTGGGCCCTACAGGAGAGCAGAGTAAGATTCCTAACTGCAAACCACAACACCTTGCTCTGGAGCAAAGCCTTGTTAAAAGGATGCTGGGTGTGTAGAGGGCTTAGAACTGAGCTCAGAAAATGACTAAACAGGGGAGGGGGAGCTCACAAACCCGCTAGGAAGGTCAAGGCAGCAGATGTGAGACCACACAAATAGAATACAGCAAATTCCACTGGAGCAGAGAGTTGGTCTGGAAGCTGACGGTTGCCACCAGAACTACGATGCCTCTTACCTCTGGAAATGAGGGAGCAACCCTCACTGTTGCTGTCAGGCACAAGAAGGGGTTCTAGAGGTTGCTAGCCTCTGAGTCTCAGCTGGGGTGTGGTCTTAGATTGGTGAGACCTCAGTTGTGAACCCACATCTATCCTGCAAGTAGGCAAGGCAAGGGGATGTGGCATTTTCTGCTTCTTTCCGTGCAGGAAGCAGTGGTATATTGTCCTTGAAGCTGAGGCTTTGGGACTCCTCATTGTAGGATTCCATCAAGCTATAGGGCTTCAGGCTCCATAAAACCCAGACCTGCCCCTGCTCACAATATTATGGAGAAGGTATTTAAAAACCCGGGTTTATTAATCTGGCTGGTGTGGCTCAGTTGGTTAGGTATCATCCCATGCACCTAAAGGTTGCTGGTTCGATTCCAGGTCAGGGCACATGCCCAGGTTGTGGGCCCCATCCCTGGTAGGGGGTGTGGAGGAGGCAAACTGATCCATCTCTCTCTGTCCCTCCCTCCCTCCTTCTCCCTCTCTCCTTCCACTCTCTCTAAAAGTCAGTAGGAAAAATATCCTTAGGTGAGATTAACAACAAAAATTGAGCTTTTTTTTTTTTTTTTAAGTCTGAGCTTCTTAACTAGTTTGTCTATAGCTTGAAATCAATTACATTATTCTTCCTGAGGACACTCTTCTTTCGGTTCCAATCTGGTTAGGTGGCTGCTAGGACTACTGCACAGAAGTCAGTTTAACCCTCCTGGTTAAATCTACCATTTCTTGTATTGCACATATTTCTCTTTCTTGGTTATCACTCTAACTTCACTGGAGTATATACTCAGCTCCCTTAGAAAGGGCACATGAAACATACATTTTCTGAGTCCTGAAAGTCTAAATGTCTTTTTTTTTTTTTAAACTTCTCAATCCACACTTTGACTGGGGATAGAATTTTAAGTTCAAGATAACATTTCTGCCCTGAACAGTGTGGCTTAGTTCAGTGGTTCCCAAACTTATTTGGCTACCGCCCCCTTTCCAGAAAAAATATTACTCAGCGCCCCCTGGAAATTAATTTTTTTAAAATTTTAATAGCAATTAAACAGAAAGATATATGTATTAATGTTTCTACCTTTTTCGTAAAATATAGTAAAGAAAGGTGTAAATTAGAAACATTGAAGTTTGAAATTATGAAACTATTTATTGAACTCAGAATAGAAAGGTAATACAAAAAAAGTTAAAACAAATGCACCTGTGGCCATCACCGCCCCCCTGGATCGATGCAGCGCCCACCAGGGGGCGGTAGCGCCCACTTTGGGAATCACTGGCTTGGTTGGGCATCGTCATGTGCATGGAAAGGTTGCCGATTGGATTCCCAGTCAGGGCACATGCAGCAGCGGATCCATGTCTGGCTCTCACATGGATGGTTCTCTCTCCCCCTCCCCCTTTTTCTCTCTCTAAAATCAATTTAACATTATTTTTTTAAAAAAGATAACGTTTCCTAATGTAATACATGATTGATTGTTATATTACCTTCAAGTAATTGGTTTCTTCCACTTATGCATTCTGCTAGTCTGGGAAATGTACCAAAAGACAGCATTCTTAAATATTTCATGACTTTTTTATACTTACTATTTTTGTTTTAGAAAAGTTTTTTAAAAATACATTTTTATTGATTTCAGATAGGAAGGGAGAGAGAAACATCAATGAGAGAGAATCATTGTTTGGCTGCCTCCTGCACGCCCCCTAATGGGGGTCAAGCCGGCAACTGGAGCATGTGCCCTTGACTGGAATCCAGCCTGGGATCCTTCAGTCCACAGGCAGATGCTCTATCCACTGAGCCAAACCAGTTAGGGCTAGAAACATTTCTTGATTTGAGGCCAAATCCCAGTTGTAGTGTTGGAGAAATGGTTTTAAAACAGTTTCCAAAACAAATACTTTCAAGAGGGAACTCTAATAAACAATCTTGCTAATAATCTTGAATTAAAAGGAAAATATTACGTATTTTCTACACAATGCTTTTAAATTTAAAGTAAATTAAGTTTTCAAAAAAATCATTTCCCCTCAAAATATTGAAGTTATTGCTGCATTGTCTTCCAGCTTCCTTCACTTTGTTGCTGAACCATCTTTTTTTAATGTTTTTTAAATATATTTTATTGATTTTTACGGAGAGGAAGGGAGAGGGACAGAGAGTTAGAAACATGGATCCGCTGCCTTCTGCACACCTCCTACTGGGGATGTACCCGCAACCAAGATACATGCCCTTGACTGGAATCGAACCTGGGACCCCTCAGTCCGCAGACCGACGCTCTATCCACTGAGACAAACCGGCCAGGGTTGTTGCCCAACCATCTTATCCTCACGGCCAGATCCGTTTTAAATCTACATCTTGGTCATCTGGGACGTATAGAATTCCCCTACTTCCTTATAGGTGGCGCTGCAGACAAGGGCAAAGCGGAGCGCGCCCTGCTGGAGCAGGAGAGACTTTCCACTAGGGGGCGTATTGCGTGGGTACGGTGTCTTGGTGAGCCTCACGCAACGTGAGGGGCGGGAACAACTCTCGCCCCGCCCCCGCCATCTGCGGCGCTCTCTGATTGGAGGAAGGGACCATCACTCGACAGCGCCGTTGGAGTAGGAGGAAGAGGGCCCTGGCCGAAGGTGACGCTGAGGCGGCGGATGAACAGAGAGCAGAGCCGACCGTCAGAGCGAGCTACAGCGACACTGCGGCCGCTCTGCCCCATCCCTCTGCGGTGAATGGCGGCGGGATGGAGCACGAGGGGAGCGGCGGCAGCGAGGGGTCGGCCGGGCTCCTGCAGCAGATCCTCAGCCTGAAGCTTGTTCCGCGAGTGGGCAACGGGACCCTGTGCCCCAACGCCACTTCTCTCTGCACCTTCCCAGGTACCGGCGGGCGCCTACGTGCTGCGCTCCCCGCCGCGGCCGCCCGACGGTGGGCAGGCGCCTTTCCCCACCCCGAATGCAAACTGGGTCCCGCCGCCCCGAGATCTGGGGGCTGTTTTCCTTCTCCAGGGGAGGGTCCCGCTCCCGCTCCCTCGGCCGAGAGCTGGGGGCTCCTGCCGGCCCCTTAGACCGCTCCGTCCCGCCCATCCCGCGCTGGGGGCGAGGTCGGAGGGCGCGGCCGCGGGTGTACCCGTCCATGAAGGGAGCTGGGCCAGCACCCGAACTAGTATTGCTTTTTGGAGTTTCCAGACGCCCGAGTTCAGACTTGAACTCGACAGAGCCCCGGGGGCGGTCATCTCCGCCTTGTTTAGGGCGCAGGATGCGCCTGGCCGCTTCCGTCCGCGCCGGCTGCTCGGCGTTCGCAGCTCGACGCCCAGTCGTCCCGGCCAGACTGAGGGGCAGTCGGAGCTCACACTTCCTTTGTTTCTAGTCCGGTCTCTTCCCTCGTCGCCGGGAGGTTCCCTGCTGATTGCTCGCACCTCCGCCCCACTCCTCCAGCTTCTCTTTCTAGGAATCACTTTCCGAGACTTGTTGCTGAGTCTCCGGCTCTCGTGCTCGACACCGTTGGCACAGCTTCTTTTTAATTACCCAGTCCCTCCTCCCCCCACCCCGGACCTTCTCCCGATGGGAGGGCTTTTCATATTTATAATACAAGATAGCTATCCGCGCTCCGAAAGCCGAGAGAAGTTACTGGGGAAAGGCTCCCAGGGGAGAGCGCAGTGAGTGTGTGGGAGCTTTAAGGGGAAGAAGACTGATGAGAACACTGGCGATGGAAGGCTGAGGTTGGGCTCCCCAGCTAAGCTGATACCGTGACTTAGTAAAGAGAGCGAGAACGGGGCCGGAGACCTGCAGAGGAAGGAGGATTGGGTTACTGACTGTAGTTATAAACAAGGCATCTGTGATTTTTTTTTCATCCACTGGGCAGCGACTGCCAGGCGCCATTCAGTGGACACCGGGGACTTGCCGTGTATTACCTGTCCAGTATCTTCGCGGACAGGTTTGTGGAATAGCCGGTGATGGGACTGATGCAGATGTTAGCTTGACATCATGCCCAAAAGGGCCCGAGGTCACACTGACAGTGATAATATGGCATTCTGGAGACGCTGCCCCCCAAAATGAAAGGTCCATGCAGTCTGGAGGCAGGCACTACAGGACCAGATTAGGTGTTCTCCCCCCACCCCCCTTATTTTCCCAACTCTTTGTTTTGAGAATTTTCAAACCTACTGAAAAATTGAAATAATAGTATAACAAATACCCATATGCCCTTAACTGAGATTTGTTATTCATATTATATTCTTTTTTTTTAATAAATATTTTATTGATTTTTTACAGAGAGGAAGGGAGAGGGATAGAGAGTTAGA